CCAGCCAGAGAGCAAGGTGAGGGAACAAGCACCATATGAATAGAGGACTATTCATCTCTTCGTTCCATTTGTCCCAAAAAATACACAGACATGTCAAATACAAAATGTATTTTCAAAGGAAAAAGACTTCTGATTTAAAATACATAGCAACTTTACAGAACAGATCAAAGAAAATAACTTTAGTAAGGACTAAGCTATTTAAAAAATGGTTCATTCTAATGCAATCATTAACACTGTATTTCTATGCATCTTTCTAACCTTGTCTGAGTAAGGAAAAATACCTATTGCAAGACCACACTGGTTGAAATCAGGCCCCATAGCTCACTAACCCTTAAGGCAGTGAGAAAGATACACCCGTGGCAGGACATACTGGACTGCGAAAAACTTACTTTCAACTCCGGGTCAGAAATACTGGGGGTCTACAAGCCCACTTCTAAGTGAGACCTGAAACACAGCAGCACCCAGCACCATCGCTCAGCTGCTCTTCCTCAGGTTGAGAACTGCATGGTGGGAACAAGGACTTCTGCAGGAATGACACAGAAATCTTCAGAACAATATAGCATAAACACAGAGAGATTGGAGAACAAGGCATCATGTAATGTAACTGTCCTGCCTTCCGATTTCTGAAACAACTCATGAAATCCTGATCCCACTTTCCCTCCCATTGTTTGCTACAAAATGTTTATTTCTGTATTTACTACAAAGAATAAACACACATTTATTGGTGAGATTTGATTTCCTCATTTCACAGCAACAGAAGAGCAGATAAGGAGATGGATGAGGAACGTTGTGGAAGGGCCAAACATGAGGTAACCATGGGAGTGGGAAGGGAGGAGGTAGAAACTGCCAGATGAGCCCACTGACTGTTCCTGCTCCCCCATGGTACCTGTCAGTTTATCCACCTGTAAATTGATCTGCAAATAGCTGCTTTATGCTCCAAATTATGGTGTCAACATTTATGATGCGGTAAGCTGACGACCTGTCAGTGGTTCTGTTTAAGATAGTTTGCCAGTTTTCCACTATTTATTGCGATTTTTAAAATATACCTCAAAAGCAAACAAGTATTGTACTGTAGTCAATTTTACTTATTGCTTATTTCCTTTTTTTTTTATTAAATAAAACATGTCTCATTAGGCAGCAATGCTTTTAGTCATATACTTGAAAGTGCTGCGTTTCAAATGCCATTTTACTGTCAAAAGGATAGCAGTTTCCATTATAAAATCATGACTGAGTCATTCTAAACCTCTTGAAAAGCCATACATCACATCAGACTGATCCCAAAAAGACCATTAGACATGAGTTGTCCCTCCTCATTCCAGTAATTCCACCGCAGTAAATTTTAAAGTTAATGGGATCGCTCCTATAACTAAAATAAATGTACAGCATGGAGGCTACGCAGCGCTGTTACAGAAAGCATATAAGGAACTGCTCCAGTACACAAACAGAATAAATTCCTCTCAGAACTCTGCAGAACAGAGTGCCACGTGCCCTGGATTGCCCATTCTGCACACACAACTTGTGCTCGTGTTACCTGTACCTACAGAACTGCAAAAAATGCAACAGCTGTGTGAACGTGCAAGAGATGAAGCTGAGTTATTAAGAGCAATACAAGCAAAACAAAAAGCTCTCATATCTATTTTTACCCAAAGCATTCAACTAATAGAAATACAAGGATTCAAAAAGTGAAGGGATTTTCACACCTGCTTCTACGAAACGCATGACAAACTCATTGAAAAAGGACTGCATTCGATAGTTAATTATAAACACTGTGATGTTATACCTAAATATTCATTTATCCAGTGCTCCATGACAGAAATTATACGTCAATATGGAACAAAACACACTCAAGTCAACGCATTTAGAACAGGTAGGCTCATTCCAGGCTCTGTCATGAATAATCTGCAAATTACCACCTTCCGCTATTTTTCCCTCTACCAGACCTGCCCCTTTAATTGCACTCACTTATTCATTCATTCAAATTAAAAATGATACATCAAGAGAAACTGTGCTTCAAAAATCCCCACAAGAATTCAGGAGAAGGATCAAATGCAAGAGTTTAGAACTAAAAGGCTGTTCTTTAGCTTAAATCCCTAAAACTAGTGCAACACATACCACAAAGTCATAGACACTCTGCCTTTCTCACCTTCTCTCTAAGTAATGATATTGACCTGAGACTGCATTTCTTCTCATCCGCTTTAGGGTAACCCACTGTGATATCACTTCCTCCTCAGCACTGACTTACTCAGAAAAGCCCTTGAAGTGAAATACACCTTCTATTTAAGGACAATTATGTTTGTAAGTTGATGAGTTACTTTGTTACAAGCACTTAGAAGATCCCAGGTACTCCATTCTTTTGGGACTTTGCCCACGTGGCACTTTTTGAGGTTATCTGGGTGAAGACCTGCAAACCAATGCAAACTCGCAGGCTATGTGTAACAAACCACGCTGAAGTTTGGGGTGACGGGGGTGCACAAAGGACAATTCCTTTGTTCATTCTATATTTCACATAAATAATTCACAAAAGCCACTTCCCAAGCCCTAGCATCAGCAACAGAACTATTTAAAACACGCATTTCTAAACTAAAGGAGGTGCAGGGGAACCCATCCGTACATTGCAGGGCCGCCTCAGGTGCCTGGGACGGGTCACAAGTTGCTGCCAGAGGAGAAAAAAAAAAAAAAAAAAGAAAAAAAAAAAAAAAAAAAAAAAAAAAAGAGACTCAGTCCACATAGCAAATCTACTCAGGTTCACACACACTGCTGCTTTGAAACTGCAAGGCTACCATAAATATATAATCCAAGTAATTACAGTATCAACAACGCAACCCCCCCTCCCAGGCTGAAGCAATGTGTTTCTGATTGCTATCACAATAGCAAACGTATTTCATTTCTGTGGAAAGCGCTACGTTCATTCAAGCACAATGGTAACTTGAGGGCAGCAGCTCCCTACACATTTCATAGGCAAAGCATCTGAAAGCAGTCAGCTACTCATGAAATACCGGTGTTCCCAAATTATATGTAATATTTTCACAGAACTCTTCGGAATATTTGCACTGTGACAGGTTTTTGAATTTGTAAAAGCAGTCAAAGGGAGGAGGGAAACCTCTAATTCTAATGAATGAACTCTGTTAACAGCTAAACAATACCCAGGATGTGAAATAGCATTGAGCCCAGCACGTCTGGCTTTTAATAACACAGTTTGAGAAAAAGGCAACCAAAATCAAAGTTGGTTTTGTTTCCCTTTCAGAGGAAAACAGGGCAGAAATTTAATTCAGTTTCCCCAGTGTTTACCCTATAACCTGTAACTGGAAATACCTAGTGGCCACTTACGATACTCACACACACACACAAAAAAAGTCAGGAGCTGATGAAACTCAGCTGCACTTTCTAAAAGCTATTTTCAGCCTATGGATCCCAAACAATTCATTCTTTTCTCCCTCCAAATTTTAGCATAGATTATTAAAGCGCTTTCCCCATAGTCTCTGCTGTAGGATAAGACAGGAACTCAGGCACAAGGAGTTGCCAATTGCACATATCTTGTCTTACAATGCCACTGTGTATTACAGTAAGCGTTTGAGAAACAAAAATCATCATGGAGTTTGTGAAAATAGCAATTACGTAGCTGCACAAAGGATGGCAAATGCTCATACATGTTACATACCGATACTGCTAGATGTTTTTAACCATGCTGAGCAGAACGAGGGATAACAGCAAGACCCACAAAAACCAACGCACACAACTTCAGAAAACATTCTCGGCTCTGAGACAGCCACCTCCACCCCAGCAAAGACAAAGCTTCCCGCCAGCTGGGGAGGACAACCAATCCCAGGGAGGGTCTCTCTGCAGAACCTGTAAGCAGCCAAACCCAACTCTTCAAACCCAAATCGACGTCAAGTGCGAGCACATCCCGACAGGCAGGTGAGCCTTTCCCAGGAGCGGGGCTGCTCGGCAGCAGTCGACCGACAGCGGCCAGAGCAGCCCGGGGCTGAAGGATGGGGCCCACTGCTGTCCCATTCGGAGAGAGCCAAAGCCATTTCCAGAACGCCCGAAGCAACGCGTATTCTGGATGCTAAACACAGAACCGCTAAGGCTGGAAAAAATCTCTAAGATCATCCAGCTCAACCACCGACCCCTCCCACCCATCCCACTGACGGACCACGTCCGTCAGTGCCGCATCTCTACAGCTCTTGAACACCTCCGGAGACAGTGACTGCACCACCTCCCTGGGCAGTCTGTGCCAGTGCCTCATCCCTCGGAGATTTTCCCTAATACTTAACGTGAAACACCCTCGCACTTAGAACAGCAGCGTTTCCCCTTGCCTCTGTACTTCTCGTTCGAGCGGCGATCGGCATTATTTGCACTCTGCCACAACAAATTACAGCTCGCCGGTCACCTCGGGCAGCGTCTCTGACATCCTGGCGATTGCTCTCCCCGCCACCCCCCGCATCCCTCCTCTCTCCAAAGGACTTTCGCAAATGACCGCGAATCGCAGTTACTGCGCATCACAAAAGCAGCCGGCAACCCCCTCCGGGATGCTCAAGTTTCCCATTCCCTGCTTTTCCACCACGGCGTACCTACGGATGTCAAAAAATAAAAGAGCGGAAAATTTAAAATAAAAATAATTTAAAAAAAAGATGCACCCCCGCTGGACAGGAGAGCTGAACGTGTATTTACGGCTGCCGGCTTCCCAGCGATTTCTGACACCCCAAAGCAGCTCAGCTCGGCGACGCGGCGCAGCGGGCTGAGCGGTGCTGCGTTCCGAGGCACGGAGTCAGCGCGCTGCGGGGAACGGGAGCCCCGCGGGCACCCGAGCTGCGTGAGCATCTCGCGCGCAGCCCGCGCACCTGTGCAACTCCCCGGCTGCACGCGCACCTGTGCAAGCCGCCCGCACCCGGCAGAACGCGTTCGCTCGCTCTCCCCGCTCCCCCCCGTGAAGCGCTACGAAATCGAACAAAAACCAGCCCGACGCAGGGCTCTGCCCCGGCCGCCCCGTCTCCGCTCACCCTCGCTGCCCGGGCTGGCCAGCAGGCTCCGGAGCGCGGCGCATAGCAGCAGGCACGTCCAGCCGGGAGCCGGCCCCCCGGCACGGCCGCCACCGCCCCGCAGCCCCATCCCGCCGCCCCTCAGCGCATGGGTCGGGTCGGGACGGGGCGGGCAGGCAGCGCGCCGCGGCTCCGCTCCGCTCCCGTCCAGCCGCCGGCGCGACTGGGGAGCCGGGAGGCGGGGACGGGGGAGGCGGCCCTGTGCCGCCGCCGAGGAGACGCCCCTGACGGGGCGGACCCGCCGCTGCCGCCCCGTGCGGGAACGGAGCTCTCCGCGCCGGGGGGCGCGTCGGCAGCTGGCCCCAAAATGGCGGTCCCATGAGGTGGCTGTGGGTCCCTGAGGGGCGGCCCGCACTTGCCCTCAGCCTCGCGCCGTGCGCGCGCTCCCAGCCGCGGTTTCACTCTCCCCTCATCTGACGGAGTTGGGATTTCACAGCAGACCTCAGAGAAAGGGTGGTCGCCATCCACCAAAACAAAAATACTACTAGAACAGCATAAGCTGGTGTACAACTAGGTACATTTCTGGCAGGTGGAATACTGTTTTTTTGGTATATGCCTCCTTTCTGCTGGCAAGGCACAGTTCTGAAGCCTTTGGTGAAAGTTCAGACTTTTGGTCAAGACAGGGCCCTAATTGGGACTTCTTCCTGGAAAAAAATAATAAAAAAAACCCATCACAATATACAACCCCTAAATATACCGAAACTTACTTTTTGGAGGTTTCTTCTTCACCTGCAGCCCAGAGCCCTGGAGGAGTCTGCTTCCAGAGACTAAGTAACAAAACTGTGCTGTGTAGATGCACCAGCAGCAGAGATAAAGGGTGACCTTGTGGTGCCTCCTGCATGCAACTGCTCTGGGGGGAGGCCTTTCAGCCTCCTCAGCACCAGGTGAGGCTGAGGCTGACAGCCACATTGCAGGATTGTCTAAATCATAACTCTGTAAAAGGCCGTTCTGACCTTTTGCCATTGCCAAGATTTTGGCCTGTTTGTTCATGTTAGAAAAAGTACTGAAGACTAAGTACTGCAAATGCATTAAGAGCAAGGCTGTCTCTCCACAGGGCAAGTTTCAGGTTCCAGGCTTCAAGCAAATTGCAAGCTACATCACAAAGTCCTGGTATTAAGAGGAGATCCAGATGGCCAGTCTTCTATTCATTCAGTCTTTAACCAGGAACTTCTGGTTACACAGAGCTCTTTACATCACTCATTGTTTACTCATACAGCAGCTAGACAATATATTTCTCTGCACCCTTGTACCACATATGAGCCATTGGGGCCACCAAAACATATACGTACTCCTGAACGGTATCATTTTCAGAAGCACTTGCTCCTGATGCAAGAGGATGCCATACCTCACAAGCAATCCAACATTTTTACTGCCACCAGGAGGACAAGGAAGGGGCTTTGCTTTACAGCATGAAGTACATAACTTAAGTCACCAGTAAATGAAAGGCACAGCACGCATCTATTTATGGCAGTGGGTCAGATCTTCACTACTCAAATCAACTACTCATCTGTAGCTCAAAAGGAGCTAAGGTTTGCCACCAGAACCATTCCCATCATATAGCTACTTGAACAGATAAATTGTCATGACTGAGAACATCAGTCACAATGCAGCCCTGCACCAGATTTATAGTGGGAATAGCCCCATGTGGTATACTCATGCCAATGCTTTTCCACTAAGCACCATAGGTTTTGTCCTCCAGAAATCAAGGCAAAGCACAAAAACGATCTCAGAAACAGCACCTTGCTGGCATATTGAGAGGGATAGCATGACAAAGAACAAATAAAATGCCAAGCTCTGTGGGAGCCTCTGCAGCTGAAGGGCAAGACAGGTCTCTTATCGTAATCTCATGTCACAAACTCATTTGCTCCCCTTTTTCAGCTGCCATTTGACAAACTAATGGCAGGCTTGTAATTTAGGGGCATTTCAAATGATATGTTAGCAACATCTTAATTTTCTGGGAAACACTGAGATGAGCTGCATGTGATTCATAACCTATTTAACATCAGCCATCATGCTCTAGGTTGTATCACAGCTGCTCCCTCTCCCTCCCCTCCAAATTTCCAAGAAATTTGGTTTGTTCTCTATTCTTCCCATGGCAAGGAACAGAGTCCCAACCTCATTTCCCAAGTTGTCATTAAGTACCGTCTAAAAAGTTAATAAATTCAGCATTATAAAATGATTGTCTCATCCCCTTCTGCAACTGCATGTACTTATGGATTCTGTTTACTGCAGCTCAATCTTCTATAGCTCCTGGTTTTGCCACACATCTTTTTTGTTACCTGCAGCAGACAATCCTCTCCTGCCTTTTGCATCTTCCATGCATGCAGTTGGCCCTTCAAGAGAAGACAAAAATTAGTGCAGTGCTGCAGCATTCCTGGTAGCCCTCTCTCAACAAAGAAGGCATCCCACACTGAACACATGTCCCATCCACCTTGCTCAGCCACAGCAGCCAAGCAGAGAGACACTGAAATGCTGCACATCTCTTGTTCAGAAGCATCTCCCTCAGCAGTGCCTAATCAGTAGGAAGTTGTCCAGTGTTCACCAGCCCTCATGCATCAGAAAAGGTGAGTAGTCAAAAAGAAGGTGGATATTCTTCTGGGATCCCTTCCTATCTGCCACCAAAGAGTACATTATGGATTTGAATAGAATTCTTATTACAAAAATCTAGGGGGGGTCTCAAACTATTCAGCCATCTCAGGCTCATGCCATTTGTCCCCCCAGACTATATTCTGTAATCTGTTCAAGTTATTCTTTTTGCATCCTGCTATTTCCTTTCTGCCCCTGACATTTTAGCTTTTTCACTTCTGCAAACGGTGTACCCTCTTAATCATTGCCTAGCTATGGTCTTGTGTTTCATCCTTTAAATTTTTCTCATGAGTCATTTCTAGTGTTAGTAATACTGTTATACTCCAAACCCCCTCCAGTTTTCCCAACATCTCATAACGGTTTGCCCAGAAATGTAATCATACTAAAGCCGTAATAAGCAACTAGCTCTAAAATGCTTTTGCTTATGGTATCAGAAAATGACAGCTTTGCCCCACATACCTTGCCACTTTGTATCTAGTTTGCTGTCAGCTATTAGACATAATACCAACTATTTTTTAAACCAGACATCTTTTGAGTTAGTGCATTTCTGATTATTTCCCACAGATATGCAAAAGCTCAGTTTTACAAGTTCAGTTTCATTTCTCTCCTGCATATGTAATTTCTCATGCATCATTTGTGTTCTGACTATCTTCTGATTCTGCATTGCCATTTCATTGGTGTACTGTTTATCCTATCATCAACAGAACACACTGAAACAATGGAAGAGTTTATCCTTCAGATTATTTCAGGAACCCAAAGCTGTCAATTAATACATTCCCTGTATCCTTATCTTTGCTAAAACGTAGGGGGATCATATTTAGTGCATCCCCATATTCAATAGGACCACTGTCTGAGAAAAGGTCCAATTTCATACTATAAATGTAAACAGTCCCACTGAAGCCATGTCTTCATTACATTAAAGGAATAGAAGCCCCACTGTAATACAATAAATTGTTTAATTAGGCATATAAGCATTTCCACTTTCCTTTGAAAGGTCTTTTTTCCCTCAAAATGAGCTAGAGGAGATTACACCTTTAAGGAACGCCCTCACAAAACTTAGTAATTAGTGTTCAATCCCCCCATCACCTCAGCCCCTTGAAATAGGTCTGCCTTATATTAAAAAAACAAACAAACAAAAAAAACAACCAGACACATGTATGTTAAAAGCAAGAGGAATCTGGGAGCAGTAGGCAGCTTTGCACTGCAGATAGATGCATTCTGATCTGCAACACGACTGCAAGTACAGTTTTAACACAAAATGGCTGTGTTCAAGAAACTCCACAGCAGCCTGTGTAGAAATGCAGAAAGCAGTAGCTAGCACCAGCAGACAATGGGAAGATCAGTACCGGGAATCAGCCAGGACAGGAATAGTGGACTAGTGCAGGTGGGCCACCCCTTGGCCAAATGAGGTATGTCAGTGATTGTGCCCCTCAGGCACCGCTGAAATCTTTGTGTTTCAGCACAGGGAAAGGTGATAACCAACAAACCAGTATTTGCATGAAGAAACATGAACGAGTGGTAAATAAAGCAGTGCCCATGAAAGTTCAACACCCCGACATTTGTATGGTCCCAACACCAAATTTCTTTCTTCCCACCCCCTTCAAAAAAAAAAACCAAAAACAAAAAACAAAAACAACCCAGGAGCTACTGGAAATCAAGCACCTAAAATCTGTTCATTTCATTTACAGCCTGAAATTAGATCGAAAGCTGTGAAAATCCATGGGAAAAGTATGTGAATATTGGTTTCAGGCAGAAAAGGCTTAGAGAAAGCCTGACATTTCAGCCTGGCATTTTATTTTGGAGTGCTTCATCACCAGCCTTTGGTCCTGGTAAAACACCCTCAACCTGGCAGTACTCATTTGCAAATGCTGTGTCACCGCTCTCTTCTATCACTGCACTATAATGACCCCCCATGAAGCCAGATCCTGGGTGTTAAAATCATACTGTCCATCTGTGAGCAAAGGCCCAGAGGGCTCAGCGTGTATCATCACATGTGCTAATCTCAATTAGACTGATCAGCAAAATGATCCAAGTGCACTCCTTTGCACCAAGCATAGCAGCAGATACAGCTGTTAGTGCTTGCAGCCCACTCCCTACTTACCAAGTATTTAGGTGTTTCTTTGCATCACACCAGGAGAGCATTAAAAAGAACAAATGAAATAGCTTTGAAGAGATTTATGAAGATACTCTAATGTAGAGAGTGGAGCACAGGAGAAAGTGCAAAGGCTAATTTGATTACATTGTTAGACCTGTATAAATTTAATAACAGACTCACTTCCACATTTCTCATCATAAGCTATTCGCATTCACTAACAGCAATAGCTCAGCACCTCACACTCTTGAATCCATCTTCCCAACCTACCCCTGTTAGGGAGAGCAGTGTTACCACTCCTGTACAGATAGATAGAAGCAGAAGAGATGTTAAAGATGCAGATAAAGATTACTGAATTGATT